AGGTGTTGGCACTCTGTCCCTGCATACCAGTGGTTAGATTTAGCAAGACTGTTATGCTTTATAACATACAAGAAGTGTGACCAGGGTGTGCATTAGGTTCATAATGACCCTGATAGCTGATGAGTTAAGACTTTTACGTCTAAAACTGCCTCCTTAAATCTAAGCTAAGATCTCAGTTCATCTTTACTGCTGCTCCTGTCCTCCCTGTGAAAAGCAGTGTCTATAGGCAGTTAATTAGCAGTCACAGAAAGGGCAGAGCTACAACAAAGCTTTGAACCAGCTGACTGGAATAGCTCCAGATGTTTATCTGTGCTCAGCACAGGGTAATTCTGCATTGGGGCTGCAGGGAAGCTGTACACAAGGTAGGAGGGGTGAATAAGACTCATTTTCATCAACACTGACAAGTTAAACAAATTTTGATGCCTTCATTTTGTTTTCTTTTTGGATGAAAAAAGATTGTATTGCTGAAGTTCTTAATCCAATGTTCTCACTCTTGCTTATTTTGACTGTTTTGATCAGAGAAGAACATTAGTAGATCAGACGTACAGTCTGGTCCAAAGAATTATAAACACTTTGGAAAGATGCAGTGTACAAAAGAATGCAGCAGATAGTTCTAATATTGCATTATACAAAGATCACTTGTTATAAAATGAATGAAGAAAAAAATGCCACCACCCGGATTTTGTAGCTTTCCACAAAGTTCCAATTAGAACCATGATATAAGGGACAATAACTTACTATTTGTCACAGTAATTTGTGAGAGTGTTATGAACTTAAGGCATTTTGGGCAAAGCACAAAGAATGGAAAATCTCAGCTAAATGAAATAATGATCTCCTTTCATTTAGCTTACTGTGCAAACACTTCTGTAACCAGAAGCTGCCTCAGTCACTTTAACCAGTCAGGGGGTCAGGCATGTGCGATGGGATGTGCAGTCATAAAAGAAGAGGTGATTGCTCCAAGCATGATCAGCTGTGCAGGTTTCAGGCTCCTAGAAAGAAGTTTCATTCTCATTCTCTGACAGCAGAACATGTACTTGCTGTGCAAATGTGCAAACTTACTACAGACTTCCCACAGGAAGGAGGCCCTAATGTGGGAGCACTGCCTTGTTAGCCTCATTTAACCCAGGTTTTCCCAAATAGCAGTCATCTGAAAATATCTGCTTATTTCAGGCTCTGTAGAGCCCTGAGGCAGTGGGAACTGTTCAGAAGAGTCCCTAGAAAAGGAAAAAAAATCTGGTCCTAAGGGTCCAGGATGTGCAATCTGTTAATGAATGGAGCTTTATGCAGAATTTCTGCACAACTGAAATGTGCAGAAGGTGAAATTTAATTATATTAAAGGATAGCAAATCACTGACCCAATTACATAACCCATCTATGGCTGAAAACGAGGACTGGATACAATATTTTGCAGCTTCTGCTGTATGGTAGGGGCACATCCTTCATTTTCAGTTTGGATTTCAGGTATGCCAGAATGAGCAGGGTAATCAGGATCCAGACAAAAGGCTAGATCACCTGAAAACTTACTTGCAGGCTTGGCAAACTGGCCCAAAGACAATGGTTGTGTAACCAGCAAGAGAACTGAAGACCAGTTTCCTTTGAACTCGCATCTACTGACTGACTTCAAGCATATTAAAGCAAAGATGTAACTTTAGTTTAGTCCTTCTTGTATATCAAATGATCTATGTAGGATGCAGTAATTTTCTTTGTCCTTGGAACAGGACAAATCTCTGTGCAGCTTGTTTAATTTTCTATAAATAAGAAGGATTTGCATCCTTTTCTAGATAATAGATCTTATCTTATTCTAGTTTTATGTTTCTTTTTAGCCTTTCTCTCAAATGAAGACAACAGAAGTCTCTCCTCTCTGACCAGCTGCCTGTTTTCATGGTAGGAATTTGCAATCTCTGAGGCTGCATGCTAAATCTGGCTGCAGCTGATGAATGGTTTTAAAAGCTTTTCTGGGGGAAGGTGGGTGTAAGCAGAGTGTGCTGGCACAAGCCTTTCCGTCCCTGGAATTTTAGACCTTTGTATAGGAAGCCTATCTAAGGCAGATAGATGTTATAAAAACTGCTCACCATACATTCACCTGCAAAACACACTGATATTTACGTTTCTGTAATTCTTGGCTGTAGAAGCACATGATATTTACATTTTTGTAATTCTTGGCTATAGAAACACAAGCCAATCATCACTTCTGACATCTTAATTGTTACTTGGCTTAATATCTCTAAAGGGACTTAAGCTGCAGAGTGCAGATGTTCATAACTCAGAAATGGCCCTCTTGAAGATGATCTCAAGCTGAACAACTCAACTGACTTTCACATTTCCTAAACTCTCTGGAGGCCCACTTCAAGTGTGGGTAAAGTCCTGCAAGACAGCAAAGATCTCCTGGGAGTTGTTCAGTTCTTTCTGAACTTACTATCTTGATGAAGGGCTAGATGGAACTGATTGCTCAGGAAAACTGATGCAAGAAGCTTTGCCAGATCAGTGTGAGATACAAAAGGGACCCAGTGCTCATCAAGTAAAGCACATATCAAGTGCTCATCAAGTAACTCCAGTGCAGCTGGGTTTGCTGTTTCTCTTTTGCAGCTATTTGCGCTCCACAGACAGGCTTAGGTTGGCGTAACTACCATACCTGTACCAAATCTTGCCTTTGTGCACCCACTGGTTTTGGGCTCCCTTTGCAGTACATTTCTTGTCCTGCATTTCTTAACCACTGCAACACTTCTGTGTTTCTCTAGCTTTAGGCTGCCTACAGAAGACTTCAGTCATTGCTTCATATGTACACATATTTCTGACAAGCCTGAAAGCAAGTGTAAGGGTTTGGGGATCACTCATACACACAAATGACTTAGAAGCAAGGCTGTCTTTCCCTCCTGCAGTTAAACAAGACCAGTGTCTATGCTGAAAATGTACAACACCCATGAGCTCTCCTGTTTAAAAATATGAAGCTCTCAGCATGATGTAATACAGTGCTTGTTTCTAAACTCAGTTGTTGATTTCCATGCCAAAAGTTATAGATGAACCTGTGAGTGCCAGCATTTATCCCAGCCTAGTTCTAGTTCTTTGCATTACTAAGCATTACATTTTGCTTATGAGTTAGTAGAGTGAGTTTCAAATCACTGCACACATTTTTGTGGAAAGGCAATTAAATACTACCAGTCGCCTCACATACCATACAGTCTTTTCACTGGCAATGTGAGGTATTTTAATCCCTGAAACAGTCTCCTTGGCTAAGTGTTTTAAAATCTTTGCAGCTCTCTGAGATATTATATTTCAGAGAATTCTTTAACTAAGATACACGTACAAGTAGTAGTATGTAAGCAGCTTTCAAGTGGTACATGATTTGTCATAATGCCAGGGATGCTTCTGCCAGCTGCTATTTTCATTGATAGTAGCACCTGACAAAAAGTAATTGGGGTTTGCCCTCCCCTCCAGCTCTTTAATCATGGATAAAGACTCTTTGGGTCTCATTTTGAGACAGGGGTTACTTTAAACACTGCAGTGGGCTTAAAGGCCTTGCTAAAACCTATCCTTAATTTTACAAGCACAAGTGTTTTCCAAAACGTTTGTTTGATAGCTTATCACAGTTATCAGCTCCAACACCATTTCTAATAACTGTGTGTAAATCCCTCTGTCACTTTAAATTCCTTTGGTAAACAGAAAACATAGAATTAGATTAGTAACTTCCTGCTTCCTTTATTAAGCTACACAGTGAGATTTTTCCAGTCAATTTCTTTTGCAATATGTAAAAAAATACTTAACTTAATACAGTGGTGTAGCAAAGTGATTACTAAAATAGTTACTCACATTTTTCTGTCTGCTCATGTCAACAAACGTGACTATTATGATTGCCCCAATCAAAACCACTGTAGAAAGAATAGCATGCCACCTTCTCCCCTCTCTCAGTTTTATCTCCAGTTTTCAGAATAGGTTTGAAAAACAGCAACTGCAAAAACCCCTACTTCTGTTGCTTTGCACACTAAACTGTTTGAAAAGTCGAGCAAGTGAGAAGCTTTTGATCTGACAGGAACTGACCAGTACTATTGAAGCAAATGAGATCACATTACTCACAGCAGCCTCTCTAAACAGTCAAAATACCACAAACTTTTAAAAGCCTCTTTAGAATTAGCCATGCAGTTCACAGAGGGATTTAAAAATAGTCTCCTTACAAATATGTGTGTGTATAGATGCTACTACTAAATTATGAAAAATACTTTGTAACTGCACTAGTTTTTACATGTTTCATTTAAGCATTTTAAACCTCATAAAGTATTAATTTGAAATTCTGCTGAACTAATACTTTTTAAAAAATCTTCAAGTTTAGATTACTGACTCCTTAAGATGACAACTCTAGCAAGAATTCAGCTTACTTAAGTGTGTGGAATATTTTAAAATAAATGTAATTAGCATGAGAGTGCAGTTTTCGGAACAGCTTGAAAAAGCTACTGAAGTGCTGAGGAGTTGCTACTTCAGCGGTGATGCTTTTTGTCATTAGATGAGATGACTAATGTCAGCCAAAGACTAAATAAATATGCATTGTAGCTCAGAAGTCCATGTAAGCACAAGAACTGAATCTGTATATATTTGTGCTGGTCTGAACCTGTCTGTGCCAGACTGGTCATACCATTTTAGAAGCAAGTCCAGCCAACAGGATAACCAGGCTTTCAGGCATAGTTTGTGCTGCTGCAATCCTGAAGAGATACTATCAGGAAGCAGCAATCTTGTTTTTGCTGGCTCTACCAGCATAACAAGGGAGTGACTTTGTGAAGGTACTTGCAAACTTTGCGAGGGAAAACTGGTATTTGCTATTCTAATTCACCAGCAGTGCAACCTGTTCTTGCTTTCTTGATGTACTGCTGCTATATTTAATTTAAAATTAAAAATAGTTTTCCTGTGAATTATAAACCTAAGCATACATATGAGATGCAGTCTGCATATGCCAAGTGCTTTTATAATGCGGATTAGCAAGTTCTCAATAAATTAACATTTTCTTTACCTACCAAATCTGGTTTCCGTTTGTAGGTCAGAGGGAGGGAGTAAAGTACGGAGTACAGTGTTGTTAGCACAGAGGAGACCCAGGACTGTCTGACCTCCCGGCTCCTGGGAATGCGATCCAGGCTGAACTGGAAAAGAGCACGAGTGGAGCTGTTACTCTCCTGACAATGCTGTGGCTCCTTCTTGTTAAATCTATCTGTGCCAGCCTTTTCCCCCTTTCCTTAGTCTAGTTTGGGAAGGTTTGTGTATAAAAAGTCCACAGTGCAGCACAGAGACACACGAGAACTGGTGGCTGTTGTTCGGTGCTGTCTCGGCTTCCCCGAGCCCCGGCAAGCCGCAGCAGCAGCGCCGGGCGAGGGCGGCACCTCGTGGGCACCGGCGGCGCTCGGAGCTGCCGGGCGTTCATTGACACTGCGGGAAACGCGCGGCTCTGCTCCGCTGCTGCCCGCCCAGTGCCAGCTAACGCCTACAAGCCAGTATCACCACCCTTTAAATGAGTACTCCGTGAGGAGTCTAAAGATATGCGCAACACACATTCAAATGCAAAATATCTGCGTAAAGAAACAGGAAAGAACATCTTATCGTTAAGTAAAAAATAGGTAAAGAAGTAACTTTCTTTGTTCTTTCCCTAAAGGAAGATTATTCATGGTGTGTAAAAGGTATCAAATCAATAAAGCAAGGATGATTCCTTTTGTCTTGAAGGCCCAGGAGCAGGGAGCAGTTGTTAGGCTGCCTCCTTCCTTGCAGGTGCCCTTACCTCAGTGGAGAGGAGCTGCACCTAAGAATTATTGCTGTGGCAGAAGGCACTCCTGATGCCAATGACATTTTGGCCTGTGTAAATGAAAGGCAAATGTAGTGGCTGCAGTGCGGTGTTCAGTGATGCTGACATGTGGATAGTGGTTGTTACCTCACTTCACATGGGGGTGAGAAACTCTAAACACTGAAAATTGCCCAGTTACTTCATGTGCACCTTGCTAATTGTCACAGCTTAGTCCTGGCGATTTGTGCCCCTGAAAGAGGATGTTAACAAAACCTGTATGGTAAATACAAACTACAAATCTGTCTTGAACAGCAGTAACTGGGATATTTTTGATATATTAAGTGGAAAGAATTTAAAAAACCCCAATATTTGTAAATGCGGAATGTTAATTTTCTCGTCTGAGATTATCCTGTTTCATTGTGATATCTTTCTTCAATAGCTGTGATACTGGAAGGCATTAACAGATGTTACAAACTGATTTTTTAATGTTTTATTTGCAGGTGTTGAAACTCTGATTGCATTACTCTGACAACAGAATATGGAAAGATAAACATACCCCCTGCTCCCTATTCAACAGGTTTCTGGTTATCACTGCCTCTGTTTCTCAAAGCTTTGGATGAGTTCAGATGATAAAAAGAAATGCTCTAAGTGGAGTTTAGACCTTTGCATAGTACTCAGCCCTGCAAGAAATATGGGTATGATAAAGTGGTTTTAGGCGGATCAGGGTCCAGTGGAACTATTCAGATGAACCTTCACTGTAAGAATGGTGTTAAAGAGCATTTGACAAAAAAACTGTAGGTGATTTTCATCATCATTAAATAACCCAAATAATTTCAGCAGAGCTTGGGAGGAACTCCAAACAGTGTCAAAGCAGGAATTTACTTGGAGAGTTCAAGCAAAGATCAAGATGATTTTATCTATGCTTTTCAAAAACTATGGTGGAAACTCTGTACATCAGTGTCTATGTCATGTTAGGACTTCAGTCCACACATCAAACAACTCCTAGGTATTAGAATTAGAAACCAGAACTGGGGGGTTTTGTTGTTGTTTGTTTGTTTAGAAGCCACTGCCAGATGCTTCTGTAATCCCAGCCTCTCCTCTCATTAAGTGCTGTCAATGTTCCAAAGGTACATCCTGTATATTTTGCTGGAACACTGCATAGTATGTCTGACACCAGAAAAAGATTTCTCCCCTATCTACTATGGTGTCATATTGTTGCATCTTTTTTTTCTTTACATCTTTAGTGCACTCAGAATCTTTTTTCTAATTTGAAAACAAATGTTCCAAACTGGCAAATCTGTAATGTAATTTCAAAACCAGTGATGTTGTCCTTTACCTAGTTAATGTTGCTTTGCAAGGATGTAAGGAAAAGCTAGTGGAAAACTGCAACTGCTGTGAATTAGTATAGTATTCTCAGCTGAACATATTGCAAAGAAATTGAGTTTACATAATTCTTTTTCATTATGAGAAATAAGATTTCTTAGCGTAGTACCTCTCATGAAATGGAAAAGAACATATGGTCAGAAGAGGTTTATGTAAAGGTTAGTTAATCTGGTTGCTCATCTCCTGTACCATGGGGGGGTATAGGAATTCATGTTCTTCACTAAGTTGTTTCTCTGCTGCTAGAGTATGTTGCCAGCAGCTGAAACAGGTTCTCTATGAGCATAGAAGGCTCCTGAGTGCCAGCTCTGGGGGCATCCATGTGGAATAGTTGTGGTTACAGGTGGGGAGTGATAGAGAACAAAGAGACCAGTGAATGCAGGACCAGAGACTTTTCATAGGGCCATTTTTTAGTTCTTTTTTTAAGAGGCTTAGTGGATTGAGGTGCAGCATTTTTCTTTTTGTAAGCAAGATGCTCATTCTGGCTTTCTTTCCTTCTGCCTGAATAGCTTTTAAAACAGAGCTAGACCACAGGTCAAAAAGAGAATTATTTGGAGGGTTGAGGAGATGTGTATGTTTAATTTTCTCTTACATCACTGGTTTTCTGTTACATCATTATTTTAATTTGTCTTCCATCTGGTCCCTAGTTCTGGAAAAATCTACTTCCTTAACAGGATGAGGAAGGGAATGACCATGTGTTGAAGCATTCAGACTTCTCCCTTCCACTTATGCAAAGCTTCAAGAAGTTACTAAGACATAATTTTTAAATGTTTGATGATCTCCAGTGCCCCCAATTACAAAACACACAGAGTGTGTGTGTGTGTGTGTGTGTGTGTGAAAGCACACTCTGAAATTTAGCAAATATATGTTACAGGCATGTGATATTTACTTTCCAAAATTTATCTTTCATTTTCACTCTAAATACTTTTGCTTAGTAGAAAGAGAATGGCCAAAGAAAATGAGCATCTGTTATCCAGACATCAACTCACATGCAGCCAAAAATGCTCCTCTGGCTTTCAGTGTTGAGGGAAAATATAACTACAGGATCTGTTAGTAGTTGGAGAGGTTATAAAAGAGAAGCTTAGCAAAAATAAGTGATCTATGAAAACCACATAACCTTTTAATGCTGAAAATATGTGTCTTTAGGAATTCTAATAATTTAGGGTTGGACATCCTTCAGGTAAGTGAATATGACTGTGTGAATGGCTATTTACCCAATCTGAACAGGAAGCACCTCTGGTCACTTTAATAAACATTCATCCTTGGTGCACAATGAGATGTGAAAGTTGCAGTAAACAAACTTAAAAATACCATTCCTTAGTGAGCCTTAGCAGCAGTTGCTAAATTAACAGGGTTTATTCTGAAAGTCATTGCTACTGAGTCCTACAGCCTTTTGTCCCAACAGCACTGCTGAAAACAGTGGAAGTGCACCATATGGAATCAACACCATGCAAATAATTAATTTACTGTGTGTTGCACTATTTGCTCAAAAGAACCTAATTTTTTTGTAGCCAGAACATTCATTTCCATTGTACTTATTCCACTAAAACTTTCTACTAATTTCACTGGATGTCAGATCACACTTTAAGTCAGCAGTTATGCTGCTGTCTGTTAATCATACAGCAAACGAGCTGAAAGCAAGCAAACATCTGAGAAAATAATAAACAAGATATTTTAATGATTTTTTCATGAGTTTTAGGAGTTCAGCATTTGCTCAGGTCATCAGCCAGAAAACTGACATTCAGAGGTCTTGCATCCCTTTTAAACAAACATTTAATACTTTATTTTAAAAATGCAACCAAGACATAGTCTAGAAACATACAGAGCCAATACAATTTAAATTAAGGTTTTCTTAGATAAAATATTTTTATATCTAATTTCTTTCAAAAAAACATTATGTGTCACTGAGGGAAATGCCAAACTAAAAAAAAAAAATCCCCTCTGCAATATTTTTGCCCCAATATTTTACAGCTACAAGTAACACTTCAGTGGCTAGCTGGTATAAATGTCCTTTCAAAGAATCATTTCCAAATTGCCTTCAATTAGAATGTCAAGATAATTTTTCTTACGTGAGTATTTAACAAGTTACCTGGGACTCGGAGAAGGTTTCAGCCCTTTTTTGTTCAAAAGAACGAATTTTAGCTTCACTCATCTTATCTGAGTCTGCCAAAACATAATGTCTAGGAGAGTATGACTCTGACAAACAGCTGAGTAATCTCAGGATTTCTGTTGTGTGCCCACCTGTAAAACAAAGCAAACTGCAATTAGTGTGTGAAAAATGTCATAACTTTCCATTTCTTCAGCTGAATCAGTCACTTTTCATTTTGAAGCACATGAGTATTACTACTGCCAGTGAGAAAGTATTTTCTGAGAGTAAAGATTCCATCAGAGGATGGCTGAGACTGTTTACATAACATGGAGGGAACTCAGCTCCCAGGGAAGTGGTACTGATGGATGTTTTCCAATGAAATGGGATTGAACCAGGGTCACACAGGAGTCTGATGTTTGTGTTTCATGTCCTGTACACAGTGCAGAACAACCAGGCACAGAGTGACACTGCTCTGCACTCAAAGGCCACCCCATGGGCCATGGCCAAAATGCAGCTGGACAGGATCTGGCTCAGGGCTGCACCTTGGAGGCAGAACTGCCACTGACCCTGCCCTGTGCCCAGTGCTGTGCCCTGCCAGGGCAGGGGTGTGCTAGCCCAGCTCATCACACTGAAACCAGCCAGGCAGCCACAGCAGTGTCCCCCTGCAGCCACAGCAGTGACAGCCACAGCAGTGACAGCCAGAGCAGTGTCCCCCTGCAGCCACAGCAGCGACAGCCACAGCAGTGTCCCCCTGCAGCCAGAGCAGTGTAGCTGCTGGCTGCTGACAGAACAAACAGTGCTGCTTCAGGCACTGCTCTGAGCACTGCCCTTGAAGAGGCCTTCACAACCTTCTAACTGCAGGGTCACTCTGTCCCAGAGCTGAACTGGCACCAAACCAGAGAGCAGGGGAGGCTGTACATACTGGGCTTTTTGGCAGCTGGGTAAATTTTTGGTTTTTTTTGTCATTTGAGTTCCCTGAAAAGCAGATAGAAGGATATTGTTAGAGTGGAAGGGGGGGGAGAAAGAAGATTGTGTGTGTAGGTGAAGTGGAGCAATCTCACCTTTCATCTGCTGAACTGCATCAGACCAACATGAAACCAGACCCACAAATACATCATGTGTTGACTGGATGTGGTGCTTTTGTGGTGCTTTTTTGCAGACCAAAACCAGTAAACTGCACGTATTCCTACTACCTCCTGGTGTTCAGGGTCACTGGGCTCTCAGGAGACCTTTGCTGCACAGGTGAAACACTCACAGCTGGTGAACTGACAGCAAGTAGAGTTTGCACTAGCAGTGCAGCATTGCACTAGATTTTGCCACCTTTCCATACAATTTCATGTGGTATTTTTCAGATATGTTTGGAGATATTTTCTCCTGAGTGGTGTTTGTTAAGATTTTACAAATTTTAACGCAATCAGCTGAGCACTCACAGAAGAGCAGGAGATTTCTACTTACAATCCTCAAAGAATAGGCTTGAACATTACGTGGATCTTAACTGACATGTATTATTCCATCTGGTAAGCTTATGTACAGTGGAACTATTCTTTTATTACAGACGAACCAGATGCCAAAGGACTGAAGGAAAAAACACACATTTCCAGCCCTAGTGGATGTAAAGATGACCTGAAGAATTATAAACCTGCCAGTCAAACTGAAATGCAGAGAGATCTCAAGATTATTACTCAGTTAGTTGGTGTGCAAAAACCAAAGGGATACTGAAGTGCTGAAATCACAGCTGACCTGTATTTGTCAACTGCAAATTTGCAAATAAATTTTTGGAGGTAAATTAATTGCCCATCAACTCTGATAACAAGGTAACAAGGAGTAGCAGATGTGTATATCCCCTTAAGCGAGGTGTGACATTCTCGTCTCTGAGGGATCCACGTGTGACTTGTAAGCAGATCACAGCACCGCGGTTTGGGTAGATTGCAAATGCCACGTGTGTGAGGGGCGCGCCAGTGCTCGGAGCGCCGTGCCCGGCATCGCCTCGGCAACCTGCAGCCAGGCCGAGCAGCTGCACGGCTCAGTCCCGCACCGGTGCTTTCACCGTGACCTCAGTGAAACGCGCAACAATGACTCAAATGGAGAACCAAAACACCCAAGGGCAGGCGGCAGCCCCGAGGACACCCGGCCCGCCCGGGGGCACCACAGGAACTGCCGAGGCGGGGCCCCAGCACCGGCTGACACACGTAACCGCGACTACAGCTCCCGGCATGCACCACGGCACATGGCAGCGTTACCCTAGCCGCTCATCGCGCTGCATGCCGGGACTCGTAGTTCCAGGAATCTGGAGCGGCGACTCTAGGGTGCCGCTCGCTCCCGCTGGCGGCAACCGCCACTCACCAGAGCCGGCCACCACCAGAAGACTGAACGGAGGCGTCCGCCGACCGCGACGCCTCCTATCCAGGAGCACCAGCGGGACAAGCAGTGAGGAGAGGAGGAGGAGCAGGACCACGACGACGGGCAGCTCCTCCATGCCCGTCGGAGGCCACCTCTCGCGGAAGCGGCAATGGCACCTCCCCCGTACGGCGGCCGGCGCGGTTCAAACCTCCGCGCGCTCTGAGCGCGATGGTGGCTCCGGGGGTGGCAGGGGCCGCGGACGGGCGGGCGGGGCTCGGCGGGCCCGGGACGCGGTGATGCGGCGTGAGGGGCTCCCCGTGTGCCCGCCCGGTGCTCCCCGCGCTTCCGAGCACCCGCTGCGCCCCAGCCGGCGTTTCGAAGCTGTGAAATACCGCCGTAAGCACGGGGGGAATGACGGCCCGCAGGCCGAGCCTGTCGACTTTAGCACGGGCTGCAGGAGCCCAGAGAGCCCTGCCGGCTTTAGCGGGGGCTGCAGCGGGAGCCGAGAGGGGCCTGCCGGCTGTGCACGGGCCGCAGCGGGGGCCGGGGGCTGCGGCGGGGGCCGGGCGCTCCGTGACGCGCATGGATGGATGGATGGATGGATGGATGGATGGATTCCTGCGGGAGCATGACTGCTGTATGCACTGATACTGATGCAGGTATGTCTGCTTACATGCAGCTGTAATGGTACACAGCCTACAGTAATGCGTACAATAAAGAATATTAACGTTTCACTGCCTGTCGTGGTTCTAGTTTTCATTCATGGTAATACTTCAGCTTTTCATTTCAGTAAGAAGCGTGGAGCAGCAGATCAGCGCTCTTTCTGCCTTCGTCAGCATCCAGCCTTTGTTAGGAGAAAGCGGTGATTCAGCCCCTGGGCTAATCTCAGATGCGACGTGTGTTTGCTAGAAAGAGTAATATTCTGCATGTCATGATTAGGAAAGAGTTTGTTCATCATTGTCCTTAAATTATCTGCCAGGGAGCAAGGCTCTCCTCTTGGCCAGTGAATCAGGAGCTGTGAACTCTGGAGCTTTATGGAGAGGTTTGATGCTACTGCTTTATGGGGTGAGTTGTCAAACACATGAAACGTGAGAGCTGTGCACTTGTACCTCAAGTGTACAACCACAATGGATCAAACACATTGCAATTCTGCATCTCCCTGCCATGGTTTCTCTGGCTGTTTTTTTCCCCTCTTACTCCTCCTGAAAGAATTGCACTTTTTGTGTCCCTACCAGCCTTGGAAGCTTAATGTTTCTTTCTCATTTTTAACAAAGGTGTTCCAATTGTGGATTCCAATGGTTATTATATATCTTAAAAGTAAAAGATACAAGCTCCACCAATCCTTTGCCACCTTAGGATCTGAAGTGAGTCTTTGTGATTCATGCTTCACAGCTCTACAGATTGTTTTTTTTCTTTATGTCACTGTGACATATAATTTTGCAGTTGCTTTAAGCAGAGGGTATTAAAAACAGTATTACTATGGTGAGCTTGTCTTCCACCCAAATGAGTAACCTCACAAAAAGTATTTCACTGCCTAGTCATTATTGACATTTGGAAGCAACAAGGTTTTAATTAAAAGTTCTGTTGATGATGCATAAATTTCCAAAATTCATTTTGATTTCCACTTAATTAGCTACATAAAACTAATAAGTAGGGACAATAGAGGTGCAAGTCAATGACAGAACAAAGTACCACAATACCTTTTCACGACATAAACTACTAGGTTAAAACAAGACAGTAAGTTCTATAGACAATTCCAATACTATTTTTGTCTATGGTCATCTTTTCCCCACTTGTAGTCTCTTCAATGAAAATAAATATCATTGATGTAGAATTTATCCCAGTTGCCACAGGAGGTGTAGCTAGCAATTGTTTTATTTAAGGTGGGTTTTTTTCAAGATTTCTCAAGATTTTTGCTCTTATTTTTTCCTATCATAAATGTTGAAGAACTGCTTTCCCTTTTGTAGTGTGACACTGCTAATCCTGCCTTTTCTCAGTAGGACTTAGGTGTACTTGTGTTTTCTTTCATCATGGCAACTCCCTGCTCCCTTGTTACCATGCTCTGGGCCTGGGAGACTTCAGTGCAACACTGTCAGCAGTTCTGAAGGGAGCAGGTTTCTGTCTGCTCCTCCTGGTGTGTGCTGAATGCTTGGCCAGGATTCCAGTCTGGGAAGTGCCCTGAGAAATCCTCATCTCAGCATCAGCAGTGCATAAATGCGCAGTTAATATGAAAGTTCATGTGAAATGCCAAGTTTAGCACAGCGTGGCTGTGTTAGCTCAGTGATGTGAAGCAGGTGAAGTGCAGGGGTCCATGAGGGAGGCAGTGCTTGGTGCTGATACTGCTCTCCAGTCTGCACAATCACCGATACTGCAGGTGGGTGAGTGGCCTGGGTGTGTGGTGCACTTGGTCTGAAAAGGCATCTGACAGAAAGTGGTGCAGGTGCAGAGGCTGCCTCTGACACCTCTGCTGCCAATGCAGGAAGTTAGCTTGGAACTTTTCTGGAGGAGAAATGAACCACACTTGTTCTAAATAATTGGTCACTGTTGTCCAACTCTGTAACTCTTGAATAGGAAAAAATAGATACGGTATTTTTTCCATGTACCACTTGTGAGACAATGTTCCAAAGAAAGACATGCTGCTCTCCTTTTAAATGTGAATATTCTCTGTGGAAGCCTCCTGGTACCTGGGGTGCCTGGCTGCTTTGAAATTTACACTGCTGGGCATTAAAGGGAACTGAGCAAAGCTGGCTCTTTGTGTTTCAGGTTCTTTTGTCTCCAACAGGAAAGGCTGTAATTGGAATATAAATAAAACCATTTTTTCCCCTGAAATGAAATGTAGACAGACAGCTTTGGCTATCTGGCAGTAATTCCCATTCTGAGTTTCCCTGTAAGTGATCTAACTCTTAACTGTTAAACAAGAATCTTTCCAATAAACTGAAATACACCTTATATTCATGATTTCTTAACTGGCACTTTGAATACTTGTGATGTTTGGGTTTTTTTTTTTCCTTCTAATTACAGGTTCTAAAATTACACCTATGAACAAGAGTGAGTGTACTGCTGTTTTCTAAAATGAGGTCATTTTTTCTCCTTTTGACTTAGAGTGCAGCTCCACAAACAGTTGCATCAGCACTACTGATGAGTAAACCAGCGAAATGGTAGAAACAACTGGGTGAGAAAAAGGGCAGGAATCACTTGGCCTTTGCTACTGGAAAAAATTGTAATGTGGAACCATTTATCATGTTAAAGCTCAGTAATTGATTTAAATGTATCTAAATATTATTCTTAGTTTCTGCATGATATTTTTATAGAAGTGATTCATAAGAACATATACATTACATAAGGAAACTTGATTGATTTTTTTTTTGCCAGAAGCAGTTATTTCTTTGTATGTGCTAATGGTGTTTTTTAGGAGCACTATGAGAAGTGGTGTGCCTTTGGATTAGGCAAAACCTGAAGACTTCTAACTGAGTTCTTCTTTAATATTAGAAATGCAATCTGTATCTGGAAGACTCTAGAAGAGCATTAACATCCTAAGTGTTATAACAAGTTCTGTGGTTGGGTAAGAAAGGTATTTTTAAATTAATCAGTGGAGTAGACCATTTGGGATCAACTGGAGACAAGCTACTGGCTGATCTCGCTTGAAGGAAAAATTAGGATGTTATCAGAGCCAGTGTGTGGCAAGATTTGTCCCTTTAGACAGCTGCTACTTTCAATTGCTTTGGGCAAAGTGCAGTCACACTTTCTTATGAGTCATTAGAATTAAAGGAATGTCATCTTAGAAGTCCTTATTTGTATTTGCAATCAATAGCAGCTGTAATATTTATGTTAACATTACAGTTAATGCTGTGCTTCCTGGTATAAGGGCACTTCTCATATATATTTCAGTCTCTTTTGTTTAGATATAAAAGTTCAGCACTTGCAAACACTTAAACAATGCTTGTGCTAAATACCAAAAAAGTGGAACCAAATAATAAGACTTATTCCATATTAAAAACTTTTTAAAATTTTCATTTTTTTCCCATTCACATTTGCTTTTCTTTACACTTTAATTTTCAGTGACAGCAAAGTGAATGTGAGTTTACAACAGCTTAATAAATAAGGTATCCTTCGCTCCTACATTTCTCTCTTGTTGACAATGTCAAGTTTTCTGAAAATAGTCTTTGGAACTGGGAGAGGAGGTTGTTTTTAGAAATTTGTTTGGGTCTAAATACCATGTACAAATTTAGAATCAAAGCAGCAATTTGTAAGGAGAATGTTTTTCTCTGGCAGGCACGAGCCACAGTGCCAGGCAGTGTTTCTTTAACCTGCTGCACCTGAGGTGTCTGGAGGGCTGGTACGAGTGCCTTTGATGACACACGGTGTTGTAACCATTTGGGTGCATTCTGAGGGTGCTTTTATGGAGCAGAAACTTCTGTAGTAGACACCACTGAAATGACATAATGCAACTTGTAATTGCTGGGTAGTGTGTTCAGGAGCAGTCCCTGTAATGTAATGTAAAATAATGCTCTTCTCTCTGTTCAAAAGGCCAGGAGAAAGAAGAGACTAAGGTTTCACTCCTTAAAAGTACTGAGTGGCCTGGAGGTCACTTGGGTGCCTCAGGCCACTTGGCCTGTAAAAATAAGGTCTTTTTTAAAACACACACCTAAAAATAGATGTGAAGTCTATTTTTAATCTCCTGGAAATCTGTTTTCTGATCTGTAATGTTAAATGAAACTTGCAGGATACTTGGGGGTTAGGATGTAGGATTCTCTAACTATTGACTGCTGCTTTTTGACTGGGATTTTCCTGAGCTTTCCACGTAAGCATCTGTAAGGAGGATGAAGAGAAATGCACATTGCTTTAGCCTTTCCTGGGTTCCTGCTGTCAGAAAACTTGACCACTGCTTGTGCAGGGAGATAGATGGGACCAAGCTCTCAGCTTGTTTTGGGTGCACAGCTTTTCCTCTCTCAGACTGAAGCCCAGGCAGCTGTGGGGCTGCTGCTGCTGTCACAGCTCTGGCTTTGAGTGCCCAGCCCTCAGCATGCCTAGGCTTGGGGAAAGGGCATCTCATCCCTCTGTGCTCTCTCCCTCCTCTCCTTATGAGCATTCAAAATGCAGCAGAACTGACACCCTCCTCTGGAAGGAAATGCTGCTCAGTTGAAAGTGAGGACAGTTTTCT